TAGGTTGAAGATATCTTTATTGATCTTGTGCTTGGATCTCCTGTCTATTGGTGATAAAAGTGTATGGAAATCACCCCGTATTATTGTTTGGGGTCTGTCTGGAACCTTGGGACATATAGATTTACTATTGTTATATCTTGTTGGATCATTCCCTTATCAGTGATGTAGTAGCTTTTTTGTTCTCTTCTGTTTAATTTTTGCTTCAAATCTGTTTCATCAGATATGAGAACAGCTATTCCCTTCTTGTTTTCAGGCTCCATTTGCATGGAATATTTTTTCCATCCTTTTACTTTCGGCCTGTGAATGTTTTTTCCAATGAATCTTGCAAACAGCACAAGTTGGACCTTGGTTTTTGATCCACTCTGCTAATTGGGGAATTGAAACTATCTACATTCCATGTTATTATTTATATGTTTGTACTTTTCTAACATTTTGGCTTATTTGCTATATTTTATTCTGTATTGATTTTCATTTAGTTGGTGGTTGCTCTAGTGATCTTCATCCATTTGAGAGCTTTGGGGTTGGTTTTGGGGTTCTGCTGTGCTCAGTTTATCTTTGCATATTCTTTCTAATGATTGCCCAATAGTCATAAATTCTTTTAGGTTTTCTTCCTCATGGAAAGTTTTCATTCTTTCATTGATTTTGAAAGATAGCTTTGCCGAATATAGCAATCTTGAGTAGCATTGTTTTCTTTTAGAGCTTGGAATATCTCATTCCAGACCTTCTTGACATTAGGATCTGAGTTGAAGAGTCAGAGGTAACACTTATTGGTTTACCTGTAAATGTGGCCTTACAATTTTCTCTTGCAGCTTTTAATAGTCTTTCCTTATTTTCTTTCTTAGATAATTTGGTTATGATGGGTCTTATATGCCTGTTGTAGTTGGATGTCTCATTTCTAATATGGGGAAATTTTTCTATTACTATCTGATTGAAAATGTTCTTAATGCTATTATCCTGTATCTTCATGTTCTCTTCTATTTCAGTGACTCTCAGATTTGTTCTCTTGATGCAGTTCCAGAGTTCTTGTATATTATGATCATGATCTTTTATTCTTTTTCCTTTATTGCACACTGAGTGTTCAAGTTCATATACCCTGTCTCAAGGCCTGAAGTTCTGTTTTCTGTGCAATCTAATCTGTTTGTGATGCCTTCAAGTGAATTGCTTATTTGATTCATTGTGTCTTTTATCTCAGGAGTTCTGATTTATTTCTTTTCATTATCTCTTTATTGAAATGGTCTTTTATCTCATATGTTTGCTTTCTTAATTTATTACTTAGATCTTTGATTTTTTGAACTTTTAATAATAAGTTTTTTATACTCTTTCACAGGAATATCATCTACTTCATATCTGTAGGATTGTTTGTTGGGGGATGGTAAATTTTGGGGAGCGATTTGTTTGCCTGTTTCCTCATGTTTTCAGAGGTCTGGGACTTGTGCATCAATTGAGATGTATTCCCCATTCCTCTTTTATACACATGTCCTTTTGTGTATAGTTAATTGTTTTGTTATGGGACTTCTCTCTTATTTTGATGTATAAGTAAATATTCAGGAGTAGGATCTAAGGTCCCTCTCTGTTTGTTGGGGCCTGCTTGTTGGTTTGGGGGTTTTGTTTCCTATGTTCTATGTGTTGAAATATTGTTGAGGCTCAAGTAGGGCTAGATTGTGTGTGGGGTAAGATTTGCTGTTACTTGGCTAAGTTGTGAGTATTGCTCAGCAGCAGGATATCTATTCTATAACCTTAATGTCCCACTCACTTTCCAGGCTCTTTTAGGGAAAGCAGGGAGCCAGGAACAGCAATAAATGTTAGCAACAGATGCACAGCCTTAAGAAAAATGTCCAATGTCTATTTTGGCATCTATAACACTTCCACCTATATAGGAATTATGAGGTCAGCATTTAACATCACTACCAACAAAAAAAAACCCATTTACTCGGTCAAGTATTGAACAACAGATTTACTATATCATCCACTATATTAATAACCATAGCAATAATAATGGGGTAAGAATTACATAAATTATTTAATTTTTTAAAATTCTCTTAATGGGATTACGGTTTCTTAAGGGAATATAAAGTAGGATGATGAGAAAGTTTGAAATGAACTGAGGAGAGGCAGGAGATAGGTAGCAGATGATGGCTATAAAGAATAAGGAGTTAAAAAAAAAAAAAAAACCTAAAAGTAATAAAAAAATGAAAAAAAGGAAAGAGGAATGGGAATTTTGACTATTAGTGGGAGAAAAGAGTGAAGAAGAGGCAACAAGAGGACAAAGCCAACGTACTAACAAACAAATGTTAAGATCAAAAACAATTCAAACCCACATATAGTTTGTTATACCCCATCTAAGTCAAACTAAAGCTAACTAATAAACTGGTGAAACTGAAAACAACTAAAACGAGAGCAAAATTATATGAATACATGTGTATTATTTTGAAACCTGTTGGCAAATAAGTTAAAAATTAAAAAGTGGAATACTGGAATAAATGAGAGAAAAAGGTTAAATACTCTTAATGAGAAATAAAGGACTTATTTCCACTGGGTCCATTGAGATCAGCCTCCCTCTTTCCCACAGGTCCCCCACCCTCACTCCCCGAAAGCCAGGTATTTTTTTATTTTGTTTTGCTCTGCTGTGCTGTCCTTTGTCTCTACCTGCACTCCGCCTTCCTGCAGCAGCTGTGGTTGCCACCAGCCAGACTGGTGTGTCTCAAGTATTGGCTAGAGCATTATCTACCAGTACTTTAATGTTGACCTGAAATAATGTTTACTTATTTTTTTAGTATTAGGTTCCCACCAAGACAAAGTTGTTTTGTTTTGTTTTGTTCTGTTCTGTTCTGTTGGTAAGCTCAATCTTGTCTTCCTTTAGCTTTGAATGGAACCATTTTCATTTTTTATTACTTTTGTTTGATGCTTTGTACTTATTTCTTTTTAAAAAATTCAAAAAAAACATTGTTATTTTAATTCTGGTATTTGTGGTGACTTAAGAGTTGAAAATCTTGACCAGAGTTTTCTCATAGTGGTGTGTTTCTCATAGTGATGTATAGGGGCATGTGTGTTTGCGTGCGCGTGCAGATCTGGCTAACTGCATACCGTAAGTTCTTTTCTTCTCCTATTTTATTTCTTTCATAGTTTTTACCTTCGGACATGGCATTTTTTGCAGTTTCCATTTTGTGTAGACATAAGGCAGACTAAAAGTTTGCTTTTAGTTTACAAGGTAATAGAAATGCTGAACTTTTTCTACATGCAGATACGATACAGCTGATGATTGACTCATAAATCAAGACTCTCCTTTCTGAGTGTTGAATTAGTGTCTGTCTGAGTTTGTATTAGCCAAATCCCAAATTATCCCAATAAATGTACCCCATACAGACAGGTTCAAAAGAAATTTAATTCATGGTTCTTGGTAAAATCATGAAAAATAATTATTTAATGCCTTTCATAATAAAATAGTCCAGTCCTTTTCCTCTTAAGTAAGGGAGGAGTAAATTATACTAGTTCTAAATATTGTTGCTATTTGAAATGTAAACCTGATTAAATGAAATTTTGTATCTTCTTGAAAGGATTTGATACACTCTTATTCAGGGAATAGCCATTTCATTCATATATATATATATATATATATATATATATAAATTTCCTCCCCTTTTTGCCATTTGATTGAAAATGTTAGAAAACTACTCTGCTTCTAGCAAGCTTTTAAGTCTCCTTGCTTTTGGTCCAGTTAGATGGAATGTTGGGTGAATCTTAGCTGTATCTTCTAGACCTCTAGTACACCTTAAGTGTAAATCGTAGGAGTGTCCCACTGTGATGGTCTGAATTTAGGTTAACTCTCCTGCTCCCCGTTATGTATATTTGAAGGTTTTTATGCCAAGAGACAATACCCATGTGAGTTTGGTCCTTTCCATACATGTCATTCAATGTTTATGATTATATTTGATTTCAGATTTCTAAAGCATCTCCCCATGATTGTCCCAAATGAAATCAGAAGATACTGTTTATTCTCTGTAAAGTTAGGGTTTTTTTCCCTTTCTGTTATCATTGTATTACTGAGCATCTAAGATTATAATTAAGATAGGTATTTATAACTGAATTTGGTTGGATAGGAAGTTTCCTTAATACTACATTATACTTTGTATTAGTAAATACAAATGACTATTATGAATTCTAACATTTCTATACTCCTAAAAATAATTTTTCAAACCAGTCTTTAAATTAATGGGAAAATGATGAAGTACATTATTATATTTATTGGTGTATGTTGATGGCAACATCATGTCTCCAGAAATGTAGTAAAATAAAATCTAACACTTAGGTTTTATTCACATTCTCCAATATAGTCTGATATCATTGTACTTTCAAATTTGTTTTCTTAATGTCTTAACATTGTCACTTAAGTAGAAGAGTGTAAATATCATTACTATCAAAATAGTGATAACTTTTAATTAATGACTTTACTTTTACAATTTATAGGATTTCTCATTTAATTTGTTTATCACTTTTTGTTTCCTAAGTATGTAATCGAATATTTTGACTGAGCAACCAGTCTCCCTTCTTTCCATTGCTAGAATTGCTAGAATTTCTTTTGGAAATAATAGGACATTATACCATAAAATATAAATCCATATAAATTAGACAACAAAGGATTACCTTTTAAAGGAAAAGCATTATATTTGTATTTTAGCTCAGATTAGTATTAATAAATTCTAATTGACTATGATAAACTATAAAATTTGAATCTGAACTAATTTTTAAAAAACATAAATGTAATTGATTCTTTAAAAAGGGAACACTTATTTGTTAATTTTAATTAAAATATAAAAGTGCTTATTAAGCAAACTTTGATTTCATTGTTATTTCTGTTATTATAAAGTAGAAAAATGTTTATTCTTAACCTTCAAAACTGGTACTGATTTCTAAAAACTAAATTCTAGTGTTTTCACTGATATTTTCAAGAAACAACAGGAAAATGATCTTGATTTTTTTTGTTTTTTGTTTTTTTATTTCAGCACCACCACCTCCACCACCATCACGGGGAGGACCACCACCACCTCCTCCCCCTCCACATAGCTCAGGCCCTCCTCCTCCTCCTGCCAGGGGAAGAGGTGCTCCTCCCCCACCACCTTCAAGAGCTCCCACAGCTGCACCTCCACCACCACCTCCTTCCAGGCCAGGTGTGGCCGTCCCTCCACCACCACCAAATAGGGTGTATCCTCCTCCACCTCCAGCCCTTCCATCTTCAGCGCCTTCTGGGCCTCCACCACCACCTCCACCTCTATCAGTGGTAGGATCAGTGACAGCACCCCCACCACCTCCACCTCCGCCTCCACCAGGGCCACCACCTCCCCCTGGCCTCCCTTCTGATGGGGACCATCAAGTTCCAACTCCTGCAGGAAACAAAGCAGCCCTTTTAGATCAAATCAGAGAGGGTGCTCAGCTAAAAAAAGTGGAACAGAACAGTCGACCAGTGTCCTGCTCTGGAAGGGATGCGCTTTTAGACCAGATACGACAGGGTATTCAACTGAAATCTGTAAGTAATATGCTCTTTCATTTTAGATCATTGATCAGAATGGAATTTTAAAGTAATCTATAAGATATCTTTGAAAAGTTTGTTAATCTTTTTTCTCTTGCTATAATTTATAATTTTTTAATTTTTTATTTATTTTAATTAGTTATACATGACAGTAGAATGCACTTATATACTTTGATATATCATATACATAGATGGTATATAATTTCTCATTTTTCTGAGTATACATATTATAGAATATAATTTATAATTTTTAACCCTATAGATTTTTAAATATTTTTAGATACAATGAAATGCACAAATTTTTGGTTTAGATAATAAGTTCCTATAGCTCTATAACCCATACTTCTACATAAAATGTAGAACATTCTGTATCCCAGAAAGTTACCTTATGCCTCTTACCAGTTAGTTGCTCCCAAAACATTCACTGATGTAATTGCCTATTCTTTTTTTTTTTTTGGGGGGGGGTACCGGGGATTGAACTCAGGGGCACTTGATCACTGAGCCACATCCCCAGCTCTATTTTGTATTTTACTTAGAAACAGAGTCTCGCTTTTGCTGAGGCTGGCTTTGAACTCGGGATCCTCCTGCCTCAGCCTCTGGAACCACTGGAATTACAGGAGTGTGCCACCACACCCTGCTTATTGCCTATTCTAAAATTTACTATAAATGGAATCTTATAGTATGTTTACAGTTCATTGTTCTATATTTTATTTTTAAATAAAAGATACTTTTAAAAGAATCATTATTAAAGTAAGGGAAATTTAAAATACCAATTGCAATTACCAATTGTAATCACCTTGGTAAATCCAAACTAGTAACTTTATGAAAACTAAATCATATTCGAATGATTCCATGTTTTAGACTAGTAAAGAATCAGGTGCCACCAAAAAAAAAAAAAAAAAAATTGAAAGAGTTCTAATAGAATTTCTGACACTGAAGGCTGATAACTTTTGGACAAGATGATCATCATTTAATCCTTTAGATCATTTAATCTTTTAGAGGTTGACAAACTTTTTTGATAACAGACCAGATTATAAGTATTTAGACTTATAGGCCATATGGTCTTTTGTTAATTTTTTTTTTTTTTTTTAGAGAGAGAGAAAATTTTAATATTTATTTTTTAGTTTTCGGCGGACACAACATCTTTGTTTGTGTGTGGTGCTGAGGATCGAACCTGGGCCGCATGCATGCCAGGCGGGCACACTAGCGCTTGAGCCACATCCCCAGCCCTGGTCTTTTTGTTATAAGCACCCAAATCTGCTGCTGTACCATAAAAGCTGCTATATATAGTACATAAATAAAAGAATGGACTTGGTGTGGTATAAAGCTTTATTTTTAGACTCTAATGGCAGTGTTGCACTCCTATTTAGTGTTCTCTGATTTATATTACCTGATCATTAAAGAGTGGTTCTGGCTGCTCTTAAGAGCCTCATGCAGAAATACCAAACTCTAAAACTTGAGATTTTCTGTTTGTGGACTGCTATACTAGTAATAGTATTACATACAACAGCTAAACTTAAGTACTTATGAATTAATCTGTATCTTATGGAGAGCTAAATGGAATTTTTTTTTAAGAGAACACAGCGATATTTAGCCCAGAAAGAAAAGTAGTTAGTAGAAGAGTTACCAAAAAACCAAATGAAAAATTTGTCTTAATAAAGTTATTAAGACAATTTTCTTGGAAAATATTTTTCTTTGGAAAATTTTATTCCTTGGAAAAGGATTTAAAATTTCAAATAAATAAAAATGTTTAAAAACTTGTGTGATTATTTAGTATAGCTATGCTATTTCATCTTTTTTGTTTTGTTTTTGTTTTGTGGTACTGGGGATTGAACCAAGGCCTTGTGCATGTGAGTAAGCACTCTATCAACTGAGCTATATCCCCAGCCCTATTTAATCTTTTTACCAATATTATAACAATGGGTAATGGAAGTTCAGAGACAGAATTAATAAAATTAATATGTAAAAATATATTTGTCTCATTTTAGTACTTAGAGAAGTACTTTCTAAATTGTAAATTTTTTCCATTACATTTTTTTCCTCTTTTTTTAATATGAATGTGGAAATAGGGATAATTTTGCAGGGACTGGTTTCTGAATAAATGAATTTTTAATCAAAATCTTTAGTTTTTTCTTTTGTATCATTTTATTTCCTGAATATAGTTTGGGGGAAATGGAAGTAATTTCTACTAGGGATAGTTAGTTTTTTGCCATGTGAGACAGGTACAGTTTCAGAACTTCTAAATACTGCCCAGGTTTATAAAATAATGTCCTTTAATAATAGTTTTGAAGTTTTATCATATAAGATTCTTGTGTGCTGGAATGTGCAGAAATTATTATTCACTTTTGGGGGGAATATTCAGTTTTTTTCTTCTTAATTTAGCTAATCCTGACTGGGCTTGAAATTTTGATTGCTTGCTTTTTAATTTTTCAAGATAAAGAGGTGATACTAAGAAAGTAAGACATTCTGAAGACAGATTCTTTGCTAAGGATTTACAGTTGAATCTTTCTAATTTTGTATTCCAAGGTGTCTGATGGCCAAGAGTCTGCACCACCAACACCTGCACCCACTTCAGGAATTGTGGGTGCATTGATGGAAGTAATGCAGAAAAGGAGCAAAGCCATTCATTCTTCAGGTAGCTTGCATATGTTTGTGTGTATGTGTGTGAGAGAGAATTTTATTGCTTAAAATTCTGCTGTTTTTATTTTTATAACTGTCTTTGTTAGCTTTTTCTCTGCTAATGAGTAATTAACTGATTTATTGCCCCTGTAATTAGTCTATCTTAAAATTTACAGATACTAGCACACCACAACCATAGCTGTAAAGTGGAAAAACTTTGGAAAAGTGGTAATTGTATTTCCTATACTGAGAAATACTAATAGAATCTGATTGCCAAGCAACCTCTAGACAAAGCTTGTGATTTCTAGATCTCATTCCTGTTATATTCTAATGACAGAAGAAATTCAGAAGGTTTCTCTGGTTTCAGAGGATTAGAAAATTAGGAATATTCTGTAGATTGTGGGGTTTGTTAAAGAATACTTTTTTGACACATGCCTGTAATCTCAGTTACTTGAGAGAATGAGGCAGGGGGACTGAAAGTTTGAGGCCAGCCTGGGCAGGTTAGTGAGAACCGAGAGCTGGGGATATAGCTAAGTGATAGAGCACCGCCGGGTTCAATCCTCAATAAGTACTCCCCCCAAACAAGCATATTTTTATCATTTTAATTTTCTTATTTGTTACATGGAGAGAATTCACATATCAAATGATTGATGGTGAGAATTAAATAATATGTAACCAACAGATTACCTAGCTCATAATAGGTGCTCAGTAAATCTTACTTTCCTTTTCTTTGTTTCTCTATAAGGAGATAGATATCTTAAGATCCTTGAGCAACGTTATACAAATTACAAAGACAAAAAAGACTAATTATTCCATAAATATTTGTGAAGGAGTAATATTAAAATTATAACAAAACAGTAAAAATCCTTGCCTTCATGAAATAAGCTTTCTTGTGAGAGAGACCAAAAAATATACAAAACAAATTAGAAAATATAAAGCAGAAAAGGGCAAGGGAGTTATAGGCTGTAGGAGGGAGGTTCATTTTGGAATAGAACGATAGTCCCAACTTAGGTGACATTTATGGAAAAACCTGGAAGGAGTAAAACATGTTAAAAAAAAAAAGCAATATCTGGGAAAAGCATCAGATGGAAAGAACAGCAGGTGCAGAGTACCTGAGGCTGCGGAACAATAAGGTCCATATGTTGGGAGCAAGAGAGAGAGAATAGTAAGGAATGAAACAGGGGACCATTAGTAATGCTTTGAAGACCATTGATTTTTATTCTGAACTCAATGGGAAGCCATCATAGGAATGACAGTGATCCATGCAAGAGATGATAGAGGTTTGAACTAGATTTCTTGTACTAATCAGAAATGGTTGGTTTTATTTTGAATGCATAGATCACTGGAGTTACTGATAGGTCAGAAGTGAGCAGCTTAAAAGGTGGAATTTCTTTAACAGAAGAGCAAGTTTAAGGGGAAAGATTAGGAATTTGGCTTTGGTACATACTGTATTTGAGATACCTATTCAGAATTCAAATTTAAGTGTTGATTTGGTTATATGTCTAGGATTCACAGACAAGGTCTTATTAATATTTGCATGTCAATAAGCTGTACATAGATACGTATTATTGAAGGTTATGGAACTGGTTGAGATTAGCAAAGTGGATGTGGAAAAGAAAAGGTCTAGCTGGGCACTGTGGCACCCGCTTATAATCCCAGGGACACAGGAGGCTGAGGCAGGGAGATCACAAGTTTGAAACTAGGCTCAAAAGGGCTTACGATGTGGCTCAGTGGTAAAGTGTCCCTGAGTTCAGTTACCCAGGATTTAATTAATTAATTAATTAACAAATAAACAAAGAGAAAGAAGAAAAAGTCTAATAATAATAAGGTCTGAGGACTACAGAATGTAGCATTTAGAAGTCAGGTGAAACAAATGTTTGAAGGAGGACAGGATAATCATCTGGGTCAAATGGTATTCTGGCCAAATTAGAAAAGAAAATATAAAAGATAACTTCATGTATGGAAGATGCTCAAGAAAAATTTTGATAGCTGCCAGTGTCAAAGAGATAAATTAAAGGTTCACATTTGATCAGATGGGGCAAATGGTAGGTTGCTATAAAATAGATGATGATGAGAATGCATTTTTTTTTCTTTTGATATCTCTGGGTTTTGCTAAATACTTCCCTATAGTGATTTTAAAAAAAAAAAGACAATTTTTAATAGTCATGCAAGTTATAATGAACTTATCGTGGTTCATATATGAATGTATAACATACTTTGTGTATTTGAACCCTTTTCATTTTACTATTATTTCTGTGCTAGTACCAGAAGATAGAATTACTAGCTATTTCCTCCTTTTCACCAAGGAGGAGCAGTTGGTGATAATTTTACCTTTGGTCACTGTCAATGCTAGCATAGTTAGGTGTACTTGATGCTTTTATCCAGGTGAAGTTCTTTTTTTTGGGGGGGGGGGATATCAGGGATTAAACCCAGGAACACTTAACCACTGAAACACATCACCAGGCCTTTTTTCTATTTTATTTAGAGACAGAGTATCACTGAGTTGCTTAGTGCCTCACTTTTGCTGAGGCTGGCTTTAACTTGTGATCCTCCTGCCTCAGCCTCCCAAGCCACTGGGATTACAGGCACCTGCCACTGCACCCAGCTTATCCAGGTAGTTTTGAAGCATAACTAGCAAAAACTTTGGATAGCACATTATTTCTATTGCTAGAAAAGTAAACAGAAGTTGTAATATGTAGTCAGTTGAACTGTTTTGCAAGTGTATTTTGTAACAATTTAGAGCTGACTTTTAGACTTAAATAACTAATAGCTATTATTGTTAAGAATAATAATAACTCATAGTATTATTATAATAAAAGAAATAACTTAGTTTGGAACCAAGAAAATATATCTTTGCTTCTCTCTGGCTTTTGTTAATTTCCAAGTTCTAATACTAGAGCTGAAGTATTTCTTTATAGGACCTTTTAAAATATCTGTTTTATAGTGGGGGAAATAAAAGAAAAAGACAGATCTGTACATCTAGCACACATATATGTCACATACTTCTTTTTCTTATTTTCTATTATTACCAAGTGAAAGTGTTTGGGTCCTGTCTTACATTGCCAACTTGGCTTGCATGGGTTATATGGGATATGTACTTCAAAGGTTAGTAATTATGACAAGCTGATAAAAATATAGAAGTGTGCTCTCAGAAATTGACGACATCTACATATTCATTCATTCAAGAAATCTAGTTGAGCAGCTCCTGTGAAGCACTGTTTTCTGGTATTAAGGATACAATAATGAAAAGACAGGCAGACTCCCTGGTTTCATAGAGCTTGTATTCTAGTGTGAAGGCCATGAACCTAAAGACATGTAAGAATATCAGACAGGAATGTTGTAGGAAAGTAAAACAGGAAAGATACTTACTGATTGTGGAGGAGGGTTATACTTTACAGAGGATAGTCAGAAAACCCCTCCAAGAAGGTGGGGTTTTAGTGAGTCCTCAAAGATGAGAAGACTCAGGCAGACAGAAAGCAAGGATAAAGTTGGCATGTTTGAGTCACAGAAAGAAGGCATCTTACTAGAAATAGTGAATCAAAGGAGATGGCATTATGAAAAAGGCTTGGAGAACACTGAGAAATGATGACTGGGAAATCATGTAGGGATTTTTAGAATTGAGGTCACATCAGATTTTATTCAGAGCAGTGCTTGGCCACAGGAGGCCTCTAGGGGGTAGCAACATGAGATTTTTTAAAATTCAGAATGTAAATAGTGTCACTCCGTTTGCTCTGATGCAAATGGACTAAACAATCTAAGCAAGATACAGTGATGGTATGGGAGTGTGGTGGGAAGGAGTAAACTGGGTTGGATGGTGAAAAAAAAAAAGAGGAATCATTAATAATTTCTGGGCTCTTGACCTAATTACCTGAGAGAATTGATGCCATTAATTGAGATGAAACTGACTAGAGCAGAGATGGAGAAGCAGGCTGGGGAGAGGAAAAAACTTCACAAGTTTTAAATTTGAGAATCCACATGAAGAGTACAAGAAGGCAGTTGGATTCTTGATTTATAAGTCTGAAATTCAGAAAAACCAAACCAAATGTAATATAACACATTAATATTAAGCACACTGGATAGGCTGGGATGGGGAGTACTGAGTGGTGAGGCTCTCTTGCTTCACACGAGTGAAGTCCTCAGTTCTATCCCTACTACAGGGGGAGAGGGAAAAATCAGAGGTTGAAATTTGTTTCATAGATAACAAGGTAGAACCCAAATCTTGGAAGTTCTGTTCTAATCCTTGGTTTAACTATCACACTCTTTGGATGTATTTCATTAAATTTTAAACTATCTTATTAATTAGATTTCTCCAAGAATTAAATGGATTATGTTTTCAGAGGTCAAGTATTTGGAGAACTCAAGAATTATGTAACATTTATATTTTCATTGTCTTAATGATTTTCTCTAGATGAAGATGAAGATGAAGATGATGAAGAAGATTTTGAGGATGATGATGAATGGGAAGACTGATCTATATATTATATATATATATTTTTAAGGTGAAATACTAAACACTACTTTCTGTCTATGGATTCTGTAAAATTATCATGTAAATGTTCTACCAATTTGCTGTATATTTTTGTTGCCTTTTTTGCTTTTTTTTTTTTTAATTAATCTGTGCAATACCTCATTTAATCTGTAAAGGTTTGTCATAATCCTCTACAAAGCTACTCCCTGTTACTGTGTACAAGTTTACACCAGGATGCTCACTTGATTTGTGAATATATTTCATTCCATCAACAAGGGAGTTTAAATACTATATGTGAGACTGACAAAAACCTTAATGTAATTTAGTTATAATGCCAGAAGGAAAACACTATTTTCATACCCTACTTTTTCTGTACCTAAATTTTCTTATTAAAATCTATTATAGCACTACATTCTTTTTTAAGTGATGTAAACCTTAGTTTCTTTAGCCCCTTCATTTTGAATACAATGCTACATATGAATGTTGAAGTTGATACCTTGCACAGTTCTCTAGACATCACTACACTGATGCCATTTTTCAAATTTTAGCAATATGCTCTGTATGACATCTCTACAAAGATCCCAGTAGGGGAAATCAATTATGCCTCTTACAGCAGCATTGCTGTTACTGGCACAGTAGTGGTGTTTGCAGGCTGGAACCACAGGGAACCCTTCCTTCCATACCTGTACTTGATTGCGGTTATGTTTATGCTGTAACAAATGTGACAGGCTTTTTGGCAAAACTCTTAAAAATTTTTTTGGTATTATTCTGAAAAATTATTTAAGTTGGAGTTTAGAGGCTTTGGGGTAGTTTTATTCTTCATGAACCATAATGGTCATTCTGTTTTTCAGTTTGTATAGATTGAGGTCTTCAAAAATACCAACCATAAATATCAAATTAATTGGCAAAGGTATGTACTGTAATGCTGAACCTAACATACTGTATATTTTTCTTTTGATAATTTCCCAAGGTTTTTGTCAAATGTCAAGTGAAGGGTTACATTTTTCTTAAAAGAATGATGGTCCAAATGTCAATTTTCTTGAAACACATAACTGATTCTGATTTAATAGTTTTTTTAAAAAAAATAAAACCTTACAACCTGCACATTTGTTTATGCATACTAAATGGTGTGTTAAAATTAGGGTGTCCTTCCCTCTTTACAATACACTAATTCACCTAAAGATGGTCGTTCATATTTATAGTGCTAATTATTATATCTACCTACTTTGAATTTTAGGTAGAAAATTATCTGATTTAAATACAGACATATTTTCTCACATTGAGTCATATGCAGAATGTAGTTCCAAATGTATTTCATTACTATAGTCACGATACCCAACTAAAAATTATTCTATCTAGAATTGTTTCGACCAAAATCTAGTATTGGCATGATCTTGACAGGCTGGACCTGCAAGATGTGGCTTGAATTTTAACCAGTTTATCACATAATCTCTAGTGATCATGCATCTAGTTATCATAAAAATAATTTAAGAGGTTTAGTTGATGAAAGCAGTAAGTGGTGCAGTAAAATAGTTAAGTTATTCAAAGAATGTTACCTTCCTTGCAAGAGTAATTTAAGCACATGGGAAAGATTCTAGATTTTTGTTTCTTGTAAAAACAGCGCCCTTTGCTGCTAGAAACCTTTTCTGCTTACTATCATTTTTATTGTGGCTTTAGCTCAGTGAGTCTGGTGTGGATAAGGTTGGACAGCTACTAACCAATAAAATCAAAATTTTGTGCAAATATTAACTAGGACATTATAATTATTTTAAATAAATAACATTAAGTCTGGTGCAGTGGCTCATACCTGTAATCCCAATGACTTGGAAAGCTGAGGCAGGAGGATTACAAGTTTGAGACCAGCAACTTAGCAAGACCCTGTCTCAAAATAGAAAGGTCTGGGATGTAGCTCAGTGTTAAAGCACTGCTGAATTCAATCCTCCAGTTCTGGAAAAATACATTTCATTAAACATGTCTTTTCTATGACATTATAAAAAATGTTTTAAGTGGCCTAGAAATGTAAGGTAATGCCAATTTAAGGTGTTTCTTAACTTTTGGCCAAGGAATTCAGGATTTTCTATCTAACTTTGGTATGATAAGTATTTATCAGGAGCTTCTCTGAGCAGAGGATATCAATTCTCAGAGTTGGAAACATACATAAAAGATGGGTATATAATTTGCCAAAGGCAATTGAGTTTGTTCTTTTTTCTTAAGGAGAAAAAGACCTTTTTGTTGTGATTGCACAAAGTCTAAGTTTCTATTGGTTGAAACACAACAGCTGTGGAGTTCAGTCCAGGCATGAAAACTACATCTTCTTTACTGAGTAAGATAAAGTTTGCATGTTTCAGTCCTCCACCATTCTGCACTGTGGGCAGCACTATACCTGTGCATTGTCTGAAAGCCTCCCATATATACTCCAGCGAAATGATTGTCTGGTAGCCTTCGCATTTAACAAACTAGCATGAGGCTTTTTATATCTAAATGCTATGTGATAGACAATTTCAGCTAGCCACATATTGTATGTATGCGATTCATAAAAATTTTCAATCATTCATTTCCATTTATCAACTGAAATTTTGTTTAGTATGTGATTTTTTTTTTTTTTTGAATTGTATAGTGAATAGGATGTTGCACTGGTGGCAATTCATCATGGAGCATAATAAAATTAATTTGGCCCAAATAGCATAAAATGGTGTGTTTTTATTTGTTGATTAAAAGACTAAACTAGGTAACAAAATCCTTAAACTGTGGAGAAGACCAAAGCATATTCAACAACAAATGATGGTGGTTGAAGTTTTTAGCAGACTTCATGCCTGAGAGTTGGAGTGTGCCATTAAATAAACATGGTGAGCAAGAAACTGTTACACCCTGTTCTGTTGGGAAACATGACAGCTGCTCAGTAGTTCCCCTGGAAGCCAGTGAGTGCTGTGGAACACAGGGCATTCACATCACAAGGTCACACTGTTTGGAACTCTTCCGCATACCAAAAATGTTAAAAGTTTTCTAAATTAGAATGATATTGAAGTTTACTGGTAGTTTCAGTAAACGCCAAATACAGCAGTTCATGTGAGCCATAAATAGTTTTCAATAAAAACAGTATCAAAGATGGTGTTCTTTTTTAAACAGGAAATTCAGTTTTTGATAAATAGAATTTTTCTGTTCCACTGACTCTGGCATAAGTGGGTGTCTGAAGATTAAACTGAGTTATGGAATCCAGAGTGTAGGTTGCTACAGAATGCCTTTCAAGAGCTTCAGCCAAAGTTAACAAATATTTCAAGAATAGTATGTTCTATTAAAAAGTTTTCTGGGGCTGGGGTTGTGGCTCAATGGCAGAACCCTTGCCTCATACATGTGAGGCACTGGGTTGGATCCTCAGCACCACATTAAAACAAAGATATTGTGTCCATGTATAACTAAAAAAAAAAGAAAAAATTAAAAAATAAAGTTGTTTCTGATGTACGAATGTGAGCCCTTAAGAATGTATTAAACAAACTTGAAAGAATTTTTAAAGAGAAAAGTGCCTCAGAATTGTCCTGTCACATCATATTTATCTAATCAACAGATTGTGAAATGACTGCTTTAGGAATGGAGCTCCTCAAGGACAAGAACAGTGATAAGGCCTATTTATAGTGCAACAAAAAATCCTTTGTGGAAAAGTTGATGAATTTTACCTTGAACTTTTTTTTTAATTGACACTCTCCCATCTTGCCTTTTAAATACAGCATTCTCTCATAATCTTTCCCGTCATTTATTTGTGGATTTTATTTTAACTCTTGTTTTTATGGAAATTATTAGGAAAAGAAGAAGATGTGGTAAACTGTTTGTTATGAGTATGATGGGGAACAGGCTTTGCAGCTAATGATTAAGACCCTCTTCTGTATGTGATATATACTATCCTCCATTACCTTGAGGAACCTATGCAAATATTTGCCTTTCCAGATGCTTCTGCCATAGCATTAAAAAGAAATGCACATTGATGATTGTACTGTTGATGCTGTATTTAATTTTACACAAGTTCAGTGTAAATCTAAACTGGTCCTCTGCACCATCATCAAGACAAATGAAGTTATGAATGCTACACAATTTGAGTAAAATAGTAATTTATAAGCAATTTTCAATTTAGTCAGCTATTTGTCTTTTAGGAAATTTCTAGTATATTTGAAGTGGCTCCTGAATTCCTTATACTCTTCAGTAAGATTTGTTTTTTTCTTAATTTTCTATTTAGGAGAGAATTTATTTTCAACATTATCTAATTGCATTATGGAACATGACCAAAACACTGTTTTAGGCCTAGAATTGGTTGGCATATCATGACCTAGAATTTAGTTTAGTTATTGATATTTTCATCAAGGCCTACTTCTAAAGATTTTTAAAAGCATCAATATCAACATATTTATTTAAATAACTGCCATTAAGAACTAAATAGACATTAAGGTACAACAGGGGAGTAAGAAGATCCCACCCACTCTGACATCCTTTAAAACATTTATTTCACAATTGAAAGACATTTGGAGACCGTCAAGCTATTTTGGAAGAAATAGGCATGTAGGCATTATCAAGACCACACTCTCAATTCCACAGAAAAGGGTACCATATTCAGAGTGGTTGTGGGCTTATCAATTCAAGGACTCTCAGAAGCCACATTTGACTACTAGTTTACTCCTTTCCCTGCACCATAATATTGTTGCATCCTTGTTTTATATTTTTCTTAAAAATAAGCCACAGATTTAGTTTATTTCTGAAAGATATGACCGCAGACTACACCCTTTCTCACATATCATCTGGGTGTTGATAGAAGCCACCAGCATCCTGTGCCCATCTCTGCCCAGAAAAGCTGGCTTGCTCTGAGAAGTCAGCCTCCGACCAAGCATGTGATGGTGTCTTGGCTCATCGATGGCGGTCACCCTACATTACCCAAGCATTTGGTCATCATAGGGTACTTCTGCCATTTAGTACTGGGTTGAAATGAGGTTGAGCTTTTGATTATACATCCAAATTACTTTTATTAGTTTCTTATGGATGTAAATAGGCATTGTCTTAGATGTAAATATTTTAAAAACTTTACAATCGATTTGTCTGACAAGTTTCAGATTACATCTTTCTGAATAGTTTTCATTCAACAGCTGCACTGTCAATTTAAAGACCAGGAGTTCTTCCAAGAGCACAAGGACAAACAACACTTTAAATCCAACTTTCTAGTTTTACTATTTGTAAGAAAGGGGAGGTTCTAATTTTGGTTGCAAGTACTTCAACCTTGTTGAAAAAGAGGCAGGAAAATAAAATGTTTGTGGTATGGGAAGAACAAATTAGGTGTAAGAAGGCATTATCATTTCCCATTGAATATAGGGGAACAAAGCTGACCAAGTCCTAATTCTGTGGCCCGTAAACCAGCTTTTGACCTAAAAAAGAACCCTTTTCTTTTGGGGTCAAAGTCTAAAGAGGCAGAGAATAGGACACTTTTTCTTTATAAGCATGTATTTTTTTTCAAAATAGGTGATCAAGAGAATGCTCAGTAAAATTAAATGTATTTGAATCTTTATTTTGAAGGATGAAAAATAAGCACTTTTATCACTTTGTTTTCCCAGAGTCCAAAACAGCAGGGGGGGAAATGGTTTTTATGAGAATCACTGTCTTTTTCTTGTTTCTTCTTTCCCCCAACTCCCTAAATCATTTTTAAAGCAACATCATTCTGCTGGCATAGGAGTAATATACATTGTGCACTTCAGTTGTTTTGATTCTGCAAATCCTTTGCAAAGCCTACTTGACTAGCTGTTAAATGAGGTTTGGTGGGTTGTTGGGAAAGGTAAGATAACTTGTACAGAAAAAAAGAAATGTGTTTGCCCTTTCTACCACATGGCTGGTTCACACTTAGATTTAGCAGTCTCTTCATATTTTGGTCTCCATTTATAATATATGGTGAGTTTGGATTAGAGTAATGACCCCACATATGAACTTCTTAACATAATAAACTTTGGGATGTCTTTCAAGTTGCCTATTTCTTTATCTTCAAGTTGATAAGATCTTCAACAAAATTGAAGATAGGGATGGACATTTTTAAAAACTAAAAAAAGGAAATTTTCTAAAATGCTTTCAAATACACATTT